TGAACAACAAACCCAAATCTGCTCATCATTATCATATACCTCATATTCATCCAAGGATCAAGCAAAGAAGAAAAAACCAATACCTAGCCCCTCATTCCTTTAGCTCCAAAAGTGCATAATCCAAATGACAACTTCTCCATGATTGAATGTGTTAACTGTCTGCACGATCTAATCTTGAGGAGGGTAAGGATTTGGATACAAAGAGATATTAGGACCAAAGCATCCTTGTCGATGCTCACCGATCTATGTTCCGTAATGTTGTGTATGGAAAAGCATGGCACGTCTAATTATTCTAAACCATGTTGGGCAGAAAGTGTAAAGCGCGACATGTCATCCTAATTATTCTAAACCTTTTACAATCCGATCACACGTCCCTTAAAGGTCTTGCTCTTGCTTTTGGTTCTTTCATGATTACCCATTTCAAGCTTTATCAGCAAGAGGGTAAATAGAACCAAGACTTGGGCTTTACTACCCATTGTCACCCTTATATGCTCAAACTTGGAGGTCTAAATGGTGAGTTCAATTTCACCCTTAAACGTAACATAAAAAAAAGTCACAGTCGGAGCTATTCCATCCAAATTTTTATCGATACTGTGCTTTAAGAGTTTGAAGCTTTATGCCAATGGAGGACTGTTCGTGAAAGTAATAAGTGTGTATGTACTAACCAGTTCCCTTTTTAGTTTTATGCACTTAAGTCATAAACTCCTATAGATATGGGTTTGAGGATAAATATCTATTGGAAATGTATTGTTCAGCTTACATAGTTAAGATGATAAATCTAAGAAGGTAAAATTATCATTTATCAAATCAAATTGTAGTTTTTTAGATTGCCATTAATTAAGATCAATAGTGAATCAACTTTTCATTTGAATTAAAAGTGAATGATATGGAGAGAAACTTGTGTGTATTGCATCTAACTACCATTAGCATATGCATCAAGATCATACATATATTCCTTTGATAGATAAATGGACAAATCATCAAGTTTCCATAACAACAATATGGAAAATCCAATCATATCATCTCTCCCAAGCATGTCAAGAAGCACCTTAATTGTGACACAAGTGGATGTAACTAACTTTTTACAATTATTTGGGTTTGACCTAAATTCAATGGTTACTAACCATAAGTTTAATCGTCATGGTGATTTTAGGAGACTTGCAAGTGCTATTCTTGGTTCACTAGGAGAGTCATTGTCATAGAAAGGAAAGCTCCCTAACAAAAACGTCTGAATTTGAAAGTTTGTTGGATACTTGGATTTTGTTGGGATCAAAGAAATTTTGTAAATTTTCCATTATCTACTACCAGTAAAAGGGTGAAGTCCTTCAGTGAGACATTGCCAGTGATCAACAAGTTTTTACCAAGTATTCCTTCTACTAGATAACTCTTGAATTCGTGCAACTATGAGGACACCTAAGATGGGCGCACATATATAAACTCACTCCTCACAAATTCATTTGAATTTGACCAACAGAAGGTCGAATATAGGGGTAAACGCATGATTCCTAACAAACAAACTACAACTTCGATACAGGTGCGTCCCAATACTCCCGCTAGATTATACGTCGTATCCTCCATCTAGGTGATCAGAAGAAGGGTTAAGAGGTTAGGGACAATTTAGCAACTCCAATTTATGTGAAAAAGGGTTTTTTTATATTTAAGGGCAACTTGGTTAATTTTCCTTTTCTTTAAAAATTAAAATGATTATTAAATAGAAAAGTGAAAACTGATTAAAAGATTTAAAAAAGTACTTAAAATAAGAATTTTGATAATATGATATTTTTAAAGTTAAGAAAGATAAATATGATATTTAGATTTAAGGTCGGGAAAATACGATATTTAGAAGCTTAACAAAGGCGTATACGAAATTCCTCGAACTAAATTCGACAAATGGACAATTTTGTTTGAATATTCGGATTTTTTGATCGGTTTTTAATAAAATCAAATTATTATTCAGGATTTTAGTTTGGTTTAATTTATAAAACAAGAACCGGATAATTCAAAACACCGAATACTATTTATTATTTATTTATCTATATATTTTTTAATGTATATCTTTAATCACTTATTAATTTACTAGACCCGATTAGAAATATTGTAACACAGATTTCTTCTCAAAAGTTTTTTATTTGTAAAATATTAAATTAAAAAATATATATTTCTTAGTAATTGTTTATAACTTTTAATTTACAAGTAAACATATTGTTTTTTACTTTTATAAAGCTGACTAATATTCAAATTATATATTTTTTAAAATGTCTTGGCTTTTAAAAATTAAATTGTAAAAACCTATCTAATTGAAGTATAATTAGGTTGATTTGATTCGAATTTAAATTTATTTTTAACTATTATTATCTATGTTTTGAAAAACGAAATCAATTTAACTTCACTTGATTGGGTCAAATCGAAATGATCCATCAAAACGAACACCCCTAACTGCCCAAGATGCTCGATCGACATATGGGGTACTATATTGTTTACTTTTAGGTGACAACCTTATTTCATGGTTTGCAAAGAGGGAAGCCATGCTCTCACGATCGAGTGCCAAAGCCGGATACTCACTGCGTGGTAGTTGTCGTCCCCGAGGCATGCCAGCTTCAAAATCTCTTTGGAAAATTATCAGAAAAGTGTCAATATTTTAAAAAAAGTTACACTTTAATCCCAAGATTTTTTTGGAACATGAAAGTCCTAATTATTTGTAAAAACCAAGGTTCTAAATAACGTGAGGCGTGAGCTTGGCGACAATGTCAAAGTTAAGTCATGGCAAGCCTTGGCGAACCATGACGTTTTTCAATGCGTGATTATTTTATATAAATTAAAAAAGATAAATCATATAATTATTGAATTTTATCAAACATATCAAGTTTTTAGAAGTGTTATATTAATATTTAGTATCAAAAAGTTAACAAAAACTCAATTATTTTAGGGCCGATCAGAAAAAAAAAAAAAAACTCGCGCCATAAAGCGATAAGGCGCGCATTGACACGTTATTTGGGCGTCACGCTTAACAAACCCGCCTTGTACGTTTTCGTAACGGCTAGGTAACGCATCGCGCCGCGCTATGGCACGCTTTTAGAACCATGGTAAAAACACAATAAGATCTCATTTCATGTTAAAAGAAAAAAAATTGATTTTTTTATAAACTTGAGCCAAAATGAAATAATATTGACTTTTATGTTCAAAAAAAAATCTTGAGACTAAAATATAACTTTTCTTAAAATATTTAGACTTTTCCGACAATTTCTCAATCGCTTATTATAACTTTGGGATAACTACAGTAAAGTCCCTATATTTTGGCAAAAGTTTCAAAAAAGTCCTAATTTTTTTTAATGAAAAAGCCCAATAAACCGGATAAACCGGACAATTTAGTCCTTATCATCCGGTGACCCTCATTTTCCCGGTTAAAGAAGTCTACATGGACTGGGCATGCTTAGGTGGACTTAACGAAACTTAAATATATACATCATTCATTCCTTTCGTGCTCTAAAATCGGACCAGGCAAAAATCGAAGCAGGAGGAGGAGCCACCAATGTCGTCTTCATCTTCTGTAGGAAACAGAAGTTCAAATCGAAGAGTGATGAATCGACTGAGAAGCAGGTGCTATTGCGGTGATCCCGTTGGAAAATGGACTTTGTGGACTCCGTTTAACCCAGGAAGAAGGTTTATAGGTTGCCCAAATTACCAGGATGCACTTAAAGACTGCAAGTTCTTCCAATGGGTGGATCCTCCTCTACCAAATCAGTGGTATGCAAATCTCTTACTAGAATTTCACAACAATGTTAATTTGGAGAACAATGCAATTTTCGGGGACTATTGACAACAACAAGTTGAAGGGAACTTTTTTGAGGACATTGTGGAACAACCAGTGGCACAACCACCAGTGGCAAATCAACCCGTAGAAGGAGTGGCCATTCAAGTCCAGAATGGAGAAGAAGGTGGACAATGGAAATCTTTTTTTTATGTGTTCATGGTTTCTTTTGTTTTTGTGTTGGTGATGTTGAAGGATTTGTAGGATAGACAGAAGATGTATGGAAAATAGTGTTCTGGTGTCTTTTATGTGTTTTGATTATGTTTTGGTGTCTTTTAGGATAGACAGAAGATGTATGGAAATCATGTTGTGTCCTTTTGTCAAGTGAAATGAATTAACAAGCTTATGTTTATGTATGAGTCATAAGTGCTTCGAATGTAATCATGAGTGAATAGAATGGAATGAAACAATGAATGGAATGAAACATGAATGTAATCATTAATTAATTGAATCAATAAACAATGGAATGAATATAGAATATAATCAAACATGTTTAATAAACAATGGAATCAATAATGACTGGAATCATTTATGACTGGAATCATGCATGACCGGTATCAAGTATGGTTGGAATCATGCATGACCGGAATCAATTATGGCAGGAATCAAACATGGTTGTAATCAATTAACATACACAATAGAATCAAATTAAACACAACATAAACATACAGAAGTTAATCAACTTAAAGATGCATTAACCATGTTTATCACAGAACATGTAATATTAACCAAAAGTTTGTACAAAACATAATCAAGGGGCCCAAAGCCTATACTTTATATGGCTATCAACAAAAGGAGCTATCAACAAAAGGGGCTATCAACGGTTGCCCAAAGCCAAAAAGTTTGTACATGTTCTTCACAAAAGGATTGGTTAGAAACACCCTAATCTAGACTAAGTGGGTTGGATGAACTCATCCCCTTCCCATTTTTAACAACCACCAATTTCTTCAATTGTATTTTTGTTATCCTCTCTGAAGTCTTCCTCTTTCTCAGTTTTGGCCTCCTTCCCATGTCCTCCACAACCATGCCCTCCTGATCCATACCTTCTTGTTCCATGCCCTCCTCACCTATGCCATTCTCATTGATTCCCTCCTGATCCAACCCTTGTGCACCCATTCCATCCTGATTCATGCCCTCTTGATCCATACCTTCTTGTTCCATGCCCTCCTCACCTATGCCATTCTCATTGATTCCCTCCTGATCCAACCCTTGTGCACCCATTCCATCTTGATTCATGCCCTCTTGATCCATACCTTCTTGTTCCATGCCCTCCTCATCTATGCCCTCTATACCCGTATCCTCTTCAATGATTCCCTCTGGACCCATACCATCCTGATTCATAATATCCATACCTTCTTGTTCCTCACCTAGGCCCTCCTGATCCATACCTTCTTGTTCCAAATCCTCTTCATCCTCAGTCAAAGTTTCTACAGTCAATTGGCTAGGAAATTCAAAACCCTGCAACAAGCATATCAATATATGGTTAGGCATACTAAACACAATAAACTAAAATTCTCTTGCTAAACCATACCTGTGATATATTAAGATCCACAGGTACATGTTTTAGACCCTCAAATTCATATAATTCTTCCTCATTGATTCCAAGACAGTCCAAAATCTCTTGTGTAGTGTAATTCGACTGTCTCATGAAATCAATATCACTCTTTACATCCACTCTTATTTCATCATCAACTTCAGGACTCTCCACATCTCTTGCCTCTTCATTATCACTCTCAACAGTAGGAGTCACCACATTTTCTTCATCAAGATTAGAAGTTCCCTCACCAAATTTTGTATTCCCTCTACTTCTCTTGCCTCTTCCTCCAGATCCCCTACCACCACCTCTCTTCCCTCTTCTACCAGATCCAGTACCCCTACCTCTATCACCTATTCTAGATCCTGTCCAGTTAGTCAAATCAGGATCCAATTTGGGTCTGCCCATTTTCTTTTTAGGTTTTGGCTCAGGTACAACCTTTGGATTTTTGCAAGAAGCTTTATTATGTCCCCTTTGAAGACAATTCTTGCATTATACAGTTCTTCCCTTGTTAGACACTTGGGGGTACTTGTCTTCATGCTCAGATACATGTCTCCTTCTTTTGACACTGGGTCATCCTGGCATCCTCCTAGCTGTAGGTGGAAGGGGCTTGGTATAGCCAGTTTCTTCCCACAAGTTACTTCCATTGACTGGAAGTATGTTAGACTGATATGTAGCCATGTAATTACTCTTGCTGAACCAAGTGCTAATGAATTCCTTTGGATCTTGGTTGGTGTATAAGATTGCTACCTGTGCATGCACACAAGGTATCCCTGCTATATCCCACAGTCTGTAGCTACAGTAATGGTGTTCCAAATCAACTCCATAACTTTGAAAGCCATTCCTAATTTCATATGAATTAACACCACTTGGCACTGCATACCAAGTCCTGCAAATATAAACATTTATCTTATTATAAATGTAATAACAGTCTATTAAAAAGCTACATGTATATATGAAATACAAAATATACCTTATATCCTCAGCAAATTCCTCCATCTTTAGAAGTGCTGCTTCACACACATCACCTTCTAATTTCTGTGCCTCCTCTCTTAAGTTGTAGAACCTTTCCATCATGTAGAGTCTTATTTCTTCAAGCATAGCCAAAAGAGGCTTCTTTCTAGCATCTACAATGACTGCATTAAAACACTCAGCTATCCCATTCTCTATAGACTCACATGCCAAACCACTACCAAAAAATGCCCTGCACCATGTATGAGGTTCTCTAGCCATAAGATGATCATATGCACCTTCACTTAAAGTCTTGATCCTATCCATGTTTATCTTGAAATCACCTTCTGTTGTAGATTTTGCAGCTGCCTAAAACATGTTTCTGAATTGTATCCCACTATACACTTTCCTAAAATTGGCATAAATATGCCTAGCACATTGTATGTGCTCTACATGGGGTAGAATATCCTTTGTTGCTTCAACAAGACCCTAGGAAATGAAAAAATATATTAGTAACTGTTATTAAAAACTATAATATATGATATAAATTAAATGAACCTGTCATTACCTTATGTTGGTCACTAATGACACATAATCCCCTGCCAGCATCCAATGAAAGATCTTCACTAACTAGTTCCAAGAACCATGTCCAATTAACCTTGTTTTCAACCTCCACAACAGCCCATGCTATAGGGTAAATTTGATTATTTGCATCTCTACCTATTGCAGTTAGTAACTCACCCTTGCATTGTCCCTTCAAAAAACACCCATCCAACCCTATAACCCTACGACATCCTATCTTCCACCCATCTTTGATTGCTTTAAAGCACACATAGATTCTATGAAAAGTTGTAGTCTGATCAGGGTTAATATTAACAGAAATCCTAACTGTGCTACCTGGATTGGACCTCATCAGTTCATGTCCATAATTCCACACTCTTGCATAATGGTCACTCAAATTGCCATCAATTAAGGACAGTGCCCTACACCTTGATCTATAACATTTTGACCATGACACCTTGCAATGAAATGTACTTTGATTTATTGTCTGCATTTCCTTGCATTTTAACTTTGGTTTCCTTACTAGTTCTTTCACAAACTGCTTTGCTAACCAAGTTGGATTCATAAGCCTTGAACTACTAAAATTCCTAACACATGTATGCCTATCATTCATCTTTTTCACCTGGAATGATTTTTCAGTACTCATCCATGAAGCACGAACCATAAAAGGGCATTTTTTTGGATCACTAGCACACACAGCCACTAGTCTAACACTATCACACTTCTTGAAACGAATTTTATATCCCTTATAGATGGAATAATTTGTTAAACATAATTTCAGTTCGTGTCTAGATTCATACCTTTCTCCAATAACCGGTTTCATCACATTCCATTTGACCTTCGGATTATGGATGGAGTATATGATTTCATCTTCATCACTAGATTCGTCAGTGTTTTCCTCATCATCTAGTTCTACTCGAGCATTTTCTCCTTCACCTTCCACTGATTCGTCATCACTGTCTTCACAAAGAACATTAAGGAATTCATCTTTGCATCTTGAAACTGATTTGGTTTTTACAAAATCATCAACTTGAACGTCGATTGTGTCAGGCTCAAATACTTCATCCATCGCCAAAGGACACGAGCAAAATCGATCGATCGATTTGTCGGGAATAAAGGAGACGAGAAAAAAGGGTTTTCAAAGAAAACCCTAAATTAATGAGGTCAACGATACAGTCACCATTAAGATGCCATGTAGACTTCTTTAACCGGGAAAATGAGGGTCACCGGATGATAAGGACTAAATTGTCCGGTTTATTGGGCTTTTTCATTCAAAATTTTTTTTTAGGACTTTTTTGAAATGAATATACACTTTTTAGGACTTTTGCGAAAATATAGGGCCTTTACTGTAGTTATCCTTTATAACTTTACATACCTCTTCATTTGGGAACCTCACTTTTGTGATAAAATCTTAGTGGTCTATATCCAACATCAGGAAATGAAGCACATTGAAATGAATATACACTTTTTCGAGAAAAGCACACGATTGGCTGCATCTGAGTTTTCTACATACCCACGACTTACCGGACGCCAATATCTTCACCATTCAACAAGAGTTTTCATCACCATATTTTTCTCGACTACTTTTAGAAAGAATTTGAGCATTCGGCCTCTTCTTATTCAAACTGCAAGGTCTATAAAAACTGCTCAAACTGCAACGAACATTAAACTATAAATATATCAAATTATTATATAAATAATATCCGATACATCCTTCCTTTAATTAATGTGTTTTACCATATACTTAAAGTTCAAAATTGAAAATGACAACTAGATCGAAGTATTAATGCTTTGATATTTTGCACTTTCTACCATCATTTAACACTTATATTTCTGTTTTGTTCATATTTTTGATAATTTCGAGATCTTTTTTGAAATTTTGGAGATAAGTAAACAATCTTTAACTTAGAATACAAAATATTTAAGAAATTGCGGTTTCTAGCCATACACAATAAATTATGTTTTATATAATTATAGTATAATTATCTAAAACATAAATTGTTATGTACGGTTAAAACATTTATATATAAATCACTATCTTTCTAGAAATTATTTATTTTGAATTATATATATTGGATATAGTTCCCAACTAAAGTTAAACGTATCCTAAGGATATATCTTTTCAAAGATTTTGATACTTCTAAAATCAGCTTAAAGTTAAAGAATTTGTTTATTTATAACCTAAAAAATAACATTTAACTTATTTATAACTTTTATAAATCAGCTTATAGATACACAAGTCAAATTTTACGTCCGACTTTTTGGTACATAATTTATTTATTTATAACATAAGAAATAACATTTAATTTATCAAAGTTTTTTTATGATTTAATCATTAAGATTCTAATTTAAACGTAACAATATTTTCCGATTCTTTTTGTAATTTATTATCGAACAAACTTTGCAATTTTTTTTAATTAAAACAAACTCTTAAACGTCTTGAAGTAAAACAAATCTAATATTTAAAAAAAATGTGACGACTTTTGTGGAATTTGATTAGATAATATAACAAAACTACATTAGATTATGTGACAATAACGTTATTTGAAATTCTAAAAGTTAAAATATACTGTATAAAATTTTAAACCAGATTTGTATATACTCATGACTTATCATATATATGTACCAATTATTTGGAAGAAATCTAAAAAAAATATAACAGTTATTCTAGATAGTATTTGGAAGAAATCTTATGAGATTTATTTCGTTACCAAACTCTGAAGAAAGTATATATCATATTCAACAATAATAAGCACTACCAAATATAAACGACAAACTTTAAACTAATTACAAAATATAAATGTCTAACTTTAAACAGTAAATTAACAAATATATTCAAATATTTAAACTAATTACGTCCACTGTGGTTGCGGTGGTTTAGATTCCGCGATCTTCCCCATCCAAGCTGGTGGCAACATCCCCGTTTGCTCATGAACGGTGTTAAACAACGGCGGCAACATTTTGTAAACGCCGGCGACCTCCTTCATCGCACCACCATCGCCGCTATCTCCACCACCATTTGCGCCGGTCCAGATGCTAATCTTCGGCTGCAAACCCTTAACAGCCTCGGCGTTAATCTTGGCGATCTCTTGATACATTCCACCATTAATCATCAAGTAATCCCTTAAAGCTCCATAGTTGCCTCCCATGGCATCCAAAAGTGTGCGTATGTAAGTACCTTGAGCTTGAGCAAGAGCAACAAGTCCCTCCGCCTCCTTCTGTTTTGCATATAACTCACCGTCGGCAACTTGTTGGCGGGAGTAGAGTGCCGCCTCTGCCATCGCCTTCTGAGCCGCCGCTTGTTTCTCCTTCTCGTAGAGAACTGCTTCTGCGGCTTTTTGCTTTCTGTAAAGTTCCCAATTCGCTTCTTGTACCTTTGTTTACATCGATTATTCAAATAGAAGCTTAAATTCATGCTTTATAGAGGATTGATTGAAAAATTGAGTTACGTTTGATATAAATTATCTACCTTGGTTTCATACTCAACGCTAGCTTTACTCAAGAACTCAGCCTTGAGTTTCTCCGTCTGAGTCAACGCGTTCATGATCTCAACCTCCTTCTGCAGCTCAGCCGCCCGCAGCGCCACCGCCTTGTTCGCCTCCACCTCCGCCACCTGTGAATCCTTGGCCCACTTTGCCTTCTTCATTGCCAACTCTGCATTTGCTTCAGCCACTTCAGCCTCTCTCTGGTTCTCAAACACCTTCACCTCCGTCTTAACCTTTATCTCCTCCTTCTTCCCCACTCCTTGTCTCTGTGTTGCTATGATCTTCGTCTCTGCGTCTATCTTCGCTGCATTCTGAATCGTCTGGCCTTCGCGAAGCTTGGATCCAATTTCACCCTGAATCAAATCATCAACCAATTAATCAATCGTTAATCATAAACTCAATATCTACATCTACATGAAAATATAAGATTAATTCAAATCACCTTCATCTTGGCTTCAGAAACATCGATCTTGGTTTGATTCGCAGCCTCCTGTTGGATCTTTTGGCCTAAATACGAGAAATATTCGTGTCCAGGTTCGTCAACCAATTGTTTGACATTGGCATTATAGATCAACAATCCGAACTGATTTAGTTCCAGTTGAACCTTATCGAACACCTCCTTCTTAAAATCCTTGGTACCCTTGAAAATCTCTTCCATGGTCATGGAAGCAGCAAGGACACGAGTCTCCCCCTCGATAATCCCCATGACAAGATCCTTCACATGGTTTGATAGCTTATCGTGAGGAGAGATAAGTTTGGCGTATTTGTGGAGACTATCGTCGTCGTCGATCCGGGGACCAATGGTGAACACGGCGGGGAGTTTGAAGGGGAGTTTCTCGGCGCTCATAGCGTGAAGATCGAAAGTGTAGTTCACCGGAGAGATGTCGAATTTGGAGCAGGACTGGCCGGGAAGTACCCATGCTTTCTTTGAGATTTTGATGTCGTCGATCCCGAATCCGGTGATCACCAGATACTCTGATGCATTTGCTACCCGATACATGGTCGGAGATCCTGAAAGGTTGCCGGAGTAGCAGGGTATTATATTTAAGTTTTTAGGTTAGTTGCATGATATATATAGATAGACGTAGGACTCCTAATCAATATAAAATTCCTGGTGATTTCCGATTGTTAGTATCTTTAGTTTAAGAAGATTATTCCCCGATTTTATAGTATATGAAATTATCAATAGAATTTACTTTCGATAATAACAAAATATTTAATATTATTGTAGAGATTCTAATTTTTTTCCTAGAAAAATAAAATCTCTATATTATGTTATTTTGTGATAAACAATACTCGCATTATTAATATAATGAATAGATAAATGATTTTTTTTTTTTTTTGAAATAAATGATTTGGTGAAGACGTTAAGTGGGTGGTTTGGAGATTAGTTATGAGCAAAGGAAGGAAATTTAGATATTCATTATGTGGATGATGATTTATGAGTATGGGTAGAATTCTTGGCTAGAAATACATGTATTAAATTCAAACAAAATATATTGATGAAATGGTTTTTCCAAGAATTGAAACCATTATCAAAGGACTTTAGAATTGACGAACGAAATGGTGTGGGTGGAGATTGGTGACTCACATCTTTGGCTTGGACGTTAAGAGCATATAAGAAGGTTGCAAGTGAATTGTGAGAGGTCATGGTCATTGATGAAGACGAAGAGGAGAATGTTTCAAAGGGGAGATCGTGTATTGGTGGGATGTTAAACCACCAAGCAAATTACACTATTTTGCTTGTAAATAAAACGTAATATAGTAGTAAAAAAGGGAATCGAATCCACGGGGAAATTGTTGTAATTCAATTACCAATACAATACAATTGAACAAGTAAAGTAACACTAAACAAACCAAAGTAAACCAAAAATGGCGAGTTTTGTGATTTGCTTGAAAACTAAAAGACTTAAGAATTAAAATGTTTGCAATTAAGTAAGATGGTGAGATGCTCAAATATTAGAGAGAATTGATCAACGAAGGCAATTCAACATAATGAATACTTGTTTGTCTACCATTAGGATTCAATAAGTAAGTTTATCATTCAACCCAAATTGGTTATAACTGTGACAACCGTCAATTTCTGGTCAAGTCAAAGTCAAATAAAGTCAACAAGTCAAACCGGTCAAATCAATTAACCTTGCATGTTAGGGTATACATTATGTTACTACTGTACAACTCGCTATTTTAATAAGAAGTTATCACTTGAAAAATCCATATGTTGAGAATTCTCAAACCCTAATCAGGATAAGTGATGGAACTACTTGGTAAAACACTATCCCATACCCCTCGGGGGCGTATAACATTCATAACGAGGCCTAACGAGGTTTACAAACCTTGCGTGACGAAGCTAAACATCCAAAAAGGTCACAAACGAAGTCTCTCTCAAACCTCTCTCGCTCTATCTCTCTCTATCTCAAATCTCTCCAAGTATGTAAAATCTCTCCCAAATCTCTCCAAGTATGTGAAATCTCTCCCAAATCTCTCTAAGTATGAGAAATCTCTTCAAGTATGTGAAATCTCTCCCAAATCTCTCCAAGTATGTGAAATCTCTCCCAAATCTCTCTATGTATGAGATATCTCT